CAGGACACCTAATCCAGAGGAGGGTGGTGTGGCTTTGCCTACACCAGCGGTTCCCAAAGTGTGGTCTGCTGCCCAGAACCGGTCCTTAGAAAAAAAACCAAACTGGTCCTTAGAAAAATTATCACGCACGATCCTATTAATGTGTGTGATGGGATAGCAGCACCCCGCACTGTTGAGCGTGGTGGTGTGGCCCTCTTAGGAGAGAGCCCGCCGCCACGCGGGCATGCTCCCGGGTGGCGGGGCTAGGGGGGGGGGAACAACCCACCGGGTGCTGTGTGCAGTGATGCAGAATGCCCGGCTCTGGACGCAGCTGGGGGAGCCAGCACCGGCTGATAAAGCAGCCAGGATTGGGGCCAGGCCGGGGGTGGGGGGGTGGACAGGTAGGGCCAGTGACACAATTTATTTGCATATTCATTGTTTGTTTAATGAATATGCAAATATGCAAATAAATGTTACCAGTCCTCTAAAAGCTTGTGAATGGGTTTACTGGTCCCCAGTATCAAAAAGATTGGGAACCACTGGTCTACACTAAATGAGTTGAGGTGCTTTAATTGAGGTGAGGTGAAATTTTTTGGTTTTTTTTTTTAAGCCAAGGTTAAACTGATTCAAATTCATCTGCACGAGGGATTTGCACCCGTTTAATTCATCAAAGCAGCTATGTCACAGCAGAGCCTGTAGAAGCCAGCTGTGCATTGTATGTACTTGGCCCCTGCACCCGAGAGCCTACATTCCCCTCCGATGAGACAGACAGTGGGTGGGAGGGGAAGCTGAGGCAGAGAAAGAGCTAGTGACTTGCCCAAGGTCACACAGCAGCTCAGTGGCAGAGCTGGGATTAGAACCCAGGTCTCCTAGGTCAACGATTAGGGCCTCTTCGTTAGTAACTTTTCTAGTGTAGATCAAGCCAGGGCTGCTTGTGCTGTCTGCACTGTAGCCACATAGAAGACATTGCTTAGGCGTTGTCAGTACCACTGACTAGCCCAGATATCTGTTCTCCCCCCACCGATGTTTCTCTATACTCGGGCTTTGATCTGTGGACCCTCCACCAGCACAGTCCTGGGAACGTGTCATCCGCTCATGTGTCACCTCCTGTTTTGTTAGCAGGAAAGTCACCCGGTGGCACTGTTGTCTTATCAGCACCGTGACTCCAAGGCGATACCAGGTGTAGCTTCACATTTGGGAGGTACAAACGCAGGACAGTTTCGATTTACTCCAGCTCCCCCAGTGTGGGGACACGCACCGTGGAAATAGTGTAGGTTGGTCTCCATCCCCTCCTCTGTAACCAGAGAACCTTTCTTCCTCCCTACTCCAGAGCAGTAGATGACATCCCCCGCCTCTTCTCGGTATGAACCTCCCTGCAAGTTCTCCCTTTTTTCCCCCCATGGAACATTTTACTGCCCTACAACTGCTGCCAAAGCAGAAATCATTTTCCCTGTGCATACTTGGTGCCTTCTGCAGGCCGTTAGCACGGTCTGCGGACGGCAGCCGGATTCCATCTGCTGCTGATCATGAGCACAAGTTTAAAGGTTGGGGCTTTGTGTTTTGTCTGGGCCAAAAAAAAAAAAAAAAAGCGCAAGACTTTGCCAAATTGGAGATGAAGTTTAACAGCCTTGAGGCGCGGTGCAAGCAGGCGGCAGGGGGGTGGATCCTGGGGGTGTACCCCACCAATCCGGCGTGAATGTGTGCAGGCATGCGTCCCGAAGAGCTAATGCCAGTCCTTGCTTTGGGCTCGCGGCATCCAGCGCCTGGGGGTCAATCTCCATGTGCGTGGAGGGTGGGCCTGCCTTGCAGTCCCGCTGCCTTAGAAATGGACGGGGGGCTTTCAAGTGGGCAGAAGTGGCTCCCTGAGAGTCCCCCACATGCGGGGCCCATGCACAGCTGGTGTAAGAGCTGTGCCCCAGACCTGTGCCCATTCCTTGGCATGGGGGCTGATCCGGGATATGGCCAGTAAGGATGTAAAATCCTGTTAAATCGGTTAAATTCCAGGCTGGAGTGCCCCTCCCCTGGTGGCAGGCCCTGCTGGGCTGGGGCAGCCCCCTGCTCGCGGTGGGTTAACTAGAACCGGGTGCCATTCACCATCCTAATGGCCAGAGTCCACTGTCGCTCTTTCCAGCTTCCCAGGGACTGTACTAAGAGGCGAGGAGCGAGTTTGGGCAGCCACGAGGCTGCTTTTTACATCCCGAGCCCGGCAGAGCCCTGCATGGCTCCACAATCCAAGGAGAACAAAGGTGGCTTAAAGGCATCTGCCCCCTCCCCATCTCGCGGCCACTGCCCCATGCCCCTCGGGAGGAGTTGAGAACGGGGCAGCCGCTGCGTCCAGACCGACACCGAGTTTCCCAGCCCTCTCCCCTTTCCTGGCTTTCGTTTCTAAGCGTGGACTCACCCTGGTGACGGAGGAATTTGCTGTCTGCCGCAGCCAGACGCCTGCTGGGCTGACTCATGCCTGCTTGTTGATGGTGCTGCTGCTTTTCCGGTGGAAGTGTGCATGCAGGCGAGCAGGCAGCGCCACTGGTGTGCGGGTGGGTGGGTGTGCCGTGCACGCATGGAGCTGGGCACAGTGATGGGCAACTAGGCTAGTGAGTGGGCTGCACAAGTGGCCTCCCTCATCTCAGTGGGCCGTAAGATTGGAACCCACAGGGCCGTTTTCCTAACTAGAATGTGCAGGGTTGGCTGATTGAGCCTTAGCTGCACTTTGGTGGCTGGCAGAGGCAGCGCACGGCTGTCTCAGTCAGTGTTGTGTGGGGATGTGAACAGGTAACTAGTTACCTGGTAAGCATCACCTGGTAAGGGAACGGTTAACCGGTGCCCGGGAGCAGCCTTCCCCCATGGCCTGCCACAGGCAGAGGGCTGTTTGCATGTGGACATGCACTGGGTTTTCCCCAGTCCCCCCACTAGCCCTTTGAGACGCTTTTGAGACTCTCTCCTCCGTAAGATCCTAAATCCTTTGGAGCAGAGGTGGGCATCCAGCCCCGCCAGTCCTCCACGTGGGGCTGCCAGCTCCCAACCAGTGCAGACCAGGAGCCGGCAGTGCCGGGGGGGGGCCGAGAGCCCCGCGGACTGGGGATTGCTCCAGCGTGGCGTGGAGCCGTTCCCCGCCCAGGATCCCGCTTAGTCAGTTAACCCGTTAAATGTTCATCTAACCTCACGTTTAACGGGTTAACTGATTAAACAGGAATTTACATCCCTTCTCGGGCCTTTGCTCTACACGAGCGTCGCTTTCGGAACGCCGGTCGGGGGGGGGCCGAGAGCCCCGCGGACTGGGGATTGCTCCAGCGTGGCGTGGAGCCGTTCCCCGCCCAGGATCCCGCTTAGTCAGTTAACCCGTTAAATGTTCATCTAACCTCACGTTTAACGGGTTAACTGATTAAACAGGAATTTACATCCCTTCTCGGGCCTTTGCTCTACACGAGCGTCGCTTTCGGAACGCCGGTAGGTATAAAGAAAAGGCAAAGCCAGAAAGCAGCGGAATCTGGTAACCCTGCACGTGGGCAGCGTGACCCAAATGTTTCATGGGCTGTGCACACAACCCCGACGGGCCGCAGGCAGCCCTCCGCCCACAGCCCGGCCCCCCCCCCCGTGTGCAGCCCAGGACCAGTGGGAAGTCCCGCTAACTCCCGGCTGCATGTGGCGTGCCAGCTTTGAAATGTACAGGAATCCCCAGCGGGGCCTCTTGTGCATTGCAAAGCGGCAGCGCAGCATGGAGCAGTCCACGCTACGCTGCTGATTTCAAATGCCATGCGGAGCTGGGGTCAGCTGGGGACTCCAGAGGCGGCATTTCAAAGGGGCAGCACCGTACAACTGAGCCAGGGATCAGCTGTGCAGTGCTGCCCCTGTAAAACACCGCTTCTGGGGAGCCTTTTCATTGGGTTTGGATCGGGTCCCAAGGGAGTCTGGTGTGCAGGGGGCTTAGTGCTGCTTGGGGTGGAGG